AGGTTTACACACAGAGGAGGAAAAAAATACTTCGATGGTTACCAGGGATGGAAGAAAGAGGGAGTGAAAATTAACCAAAGAGATAGCAGACCGTGTTAATTTTGGTGAAGGGAAACACAATACACAATATGGGAGAAATCCGCACAACATGACCAAGGTAAGAGAGGACTCTGGAAAGAACACAGGAATAAAGGGCAACTACAGTAACTACCATAACATAGACAATCCTGCAACAATAGTTTTGTTTTGTTTTTTTAAACTGTACTTTAGATGAAGGTTTACAGAACAAATAGTTTCTCATTAAACAGTACACATACTGTTTATGACACTGGTTAATAACCTCATGACATGTCAGCACTCTCCCCTCTCAACTTTGGGTTCCCTATTACCAGCTTTCCTGGCCCCTCCTGCCTTCTAGTCCTTTTCCCTGGGCTGCTGTGCCCCATTAGTCTCGTTTTGTTTTATGGGGCTGCCTAATCTTTGGCTGAAGGGTAAACCTCAGGAGTGACTTCATTACTGAGCTAAAAGGGCGTCCGGGAGCCATACTCTTGGGGTTTCTCCAGTCTCTGTCAGGCCAGTAAGTCTGGTCTTTTTTTGTGAGTTAGAATTTTGTTCTACATTTTTCTCCAGCTCTGTCCAGGGCCCTGTGTTGTGATCCCTGTCAGAGTAGGCAGTGGTGGTAGCCGGGCACCATCTAGTTGTACTGGACTCAGTCTGCTGGAGGCTGTGGTACTTGTGGTCCATTAGTCCTCTGGACTAATCTTTCCCTTATATCTTGTTTTCTTCATTCTCCCATGCTCTCGAAGGGGTGAGACCAGTGGAATATCTTACATGGCTGCTCACAGGCTTTTAAGACCCCAGATGCTACTCACCAAGGTAGAATGTAGAACATTTTCTTTATAAACTAATTGAATTAGATGTTCCCTGAGACCATGGTCCCCATAGCCCTCAGCCCAGCAATTCGGTCCCTCAGGGAGTTTGGATGTGTCTATGGAGCTCCCATGACCTTTCCTTGTATAAGTTGTGCTGGCTTCCCCAGTACTGTGTACTGTCTTATCCTTCACCAAAGTTACCACTTACCTATTGCCTATTTAGTATTTCCCCTTCCCACCCCTCCCATCCCTTGTAACCATCAAAGATTGTTTCTTTTTGTGTGCAAACCTTTCCATGAGTTTTTACAGTAGTGGTCTCATACAATATTTGTCTTCTTGTGATTGACTTGTTTCACTCAGCATAATGTCCCCCAGTTTCATCCATGTTACAAGATGCTTCGCAGACTCATTATTGTTCTTTATCGTTGTGTAATACTCCACTGTGTGTATATACCAGTTTGTTTATCCATTCATCTGTTGATGGGCATCTAGGTTGTTTCCATCTTTTTGCTATTGTGAACAATGCTGCCATGAACATGGGTGTGCATATGTCTATTCATGTTGCAACAACAGTTTTAACAGTAATTTACAAATGGATACAAACAGATACGTATGCCAAGAGGCAGGGGGTGGGGGGTGTAAGGGAGCACCCCCACCAGTAAATACAGTTTTGGTGACGGATATTTCTAAATACACGACTGCAGGTGCTCCTCATATATTAACATAGACAACAGAGCACATAAGTGGCATAGTCAGGGAAACAAACCTCTTAGACATAACCAAACATCTAGAATGAAGTTCCTAGGCTCGAAGGCAAAGGTACATAGACCCGGGGGATATCTACATCAACTGGCACAACAGAGTTCATAAAGACAATGTTCTACATCCTATTTTGTTGGTAGTGTCTGGAGTCTTAAAAGCTTGTGAGTAGCCATCTAAGATACAACTACTGGTCTCTTCCAGTCCAGAGCAAAGGAGAGTGAAGAAAACCAAAGACTCAAGGGAACAATTAGTCCAAAGGACTAATGGGCCACATGAACCACACAGCCTACATGACCCTGAGACCAGAAGAACTAGATGGTACCTAGCTACCATTACCAACGGCTCTGACTGGGATCACACCAGAGGGTCCCAGACAGACTGTGAGAAAAACGTAGAGCAAAAAATCAAATTCACAAAAAAGACCAGACTTAATGGTCTGACAGAGACTGTGGCCCTAAGATAGCCTTCAGACCTGGAACAGAAGCCATTCCCAGGGACCACCTTCCAGCCAAACAACAGCCAAGCCCATAAAATAAATGATAACACCCAAGAGGAATGTGCTCCTTAGAACAACAAATTACACGAGAACAAAAGAGTAACATTTGCCCAAAAGCAAAGATAAGAAGGCTGAAAGAGGTAGAAAATTAGGACGAAAGAAACGGGGAACCCAGGGCGGAAATGGGGAGGGTGTTAACACAAATTTTGGAAATGAATGCCAAAGCCATGAAACACTTTATGTACAAACTATCAAATGGGAATATAATTTTCTCTGTAAACTTTCACCTAATGCACAAAAAAAAAAAAAAAAAAAAAAACTCCATTTACTCTTGTCCACATAGTTTTTACAAATATTATGAATTATAACACAAATATATAACAACTTAAAGGGAAATAAATGTAAACAGCTTTATAAAAAACTCATTATCCTGTCCTTATTTTTCTTATTTAGGTGTAAAATCATGGAAGACTTTACTATGGACTGTTGCCTCTATGCCCAGCTATAATATCTATACCAAACATTTTACAGAGAGCTCGTATGTTTAACTCAAAACTGTTCTAATAACTTCTGAGTGTTAGCTCTCCCAATGAAGACAGTATATCTAATACGCAGGTCATTATATGATCAGGCAAATTTTACTTTTAACTTTGTTAATATTATCACTTATTATGCCAAATAAGTTTTTACTTTTTTTTTTCTCCCCTAAGCCCTGTTGGTGTAGTGGTAAAGAGCTATGGCTCTAACCAAAAGGTCAGCAGTTTGAATGTACCAGCCGCTTCTTGGAAACCCTATGGGGTAGTTCTACTCTGTCCTATAGAGTCGCTATGGACAGCCACAGATTTTTGGTTTTGGTAAGCTAAAATTCTAGTCTTAAAGATGAAATTCAGCTCCCTCATTTTACTAAGCAAAATCTAGACGAAGAAAGGGTAAATGATTCCATCTTGAGCACCCTGGGAAGTGTACAGGAGCTTCTTGGCCCCCAACCAGTTATGAGGCCTCTCTATCAAGACTGTTAATTTTATTATTTCATTATTGCCTAATAAAATTTTGGTATTTCTATTATCTTCATATTAATAATCCCTTAGCTCAAAGCTGATAATAGAAGGCTTTTAAAAACATAATACAATGCCTTGACTTATGCAACAGAAAGCATATTAATACTCTGCTTTTCTTTCCAAGTCTGTGTTTTACATAGTTAAAAAGATAGTATTGCCAATCCTTAGCATAGCTTCAGGGGTCAGGAAAAGGTAAATGCAGGGGCCAGAAAAGCAATGCTTTTAGCAACTCAAGTCAAATCTCCATATTAAGGTTTCCTTAATCTTCACTACCAACACAAGTTTTTTTAGAGCATTACATTTAAAATAATTATGGAAAATGAAATCTAAAACAAATACGATAGCTTTTTGTAGTACCATCCTTTCTGGAGTCCACAGAAACTGGGCTTAATTCTTAAGTCTATAATGCATGAGAATAATATTCTGAGCATTAAACTTATAATGTGACATATTATAACTATAAAATTTTGCATATCAGAAAATGTCCTATAAAAGAATGATTATTTTAAAAGATTATCAAATAAGAATTTAAGAGGCAAAGTTATGAGAAATGTCATGAATCTGAAAAAATTAATGTTCATTAAAACTTCAGATCACATGAATAGATATATGAACACCCATGTTCACTGCAGCACTGTTCACAATAGCAAAAAGATAGAAACAAATTATGGTATATCCACACAATGGAATACTACGCAACCATAAAGAACAATGATGAAGCCGTGAAACATTCTACAACATGGAGGAAGCTGGAGGTCATTATACTGAGAGAATTCAGTCAGTCACAGAAGGGCAAACATTGTATAAAACCACTACTATAAGAACTGAAGAAAAGGTTTAAACACAGAAGAAAACATTCTTTGATGGTTATGAGGGTGGGGAGGGAGGGTGAGGGTTATTTACTAACTAGATAGTAGATAAGAATTACCTTAGGTGAAGGGAAGGACAGCACACACTACAGGGAAAGTCAGCACAACTGGACTAAACCAAAGCTAGGAAGTTTCCTGAATATAATCAAACACTTTGAGGGACAGAGTAGCAAGGGTGGGGGTCTGGGGGCCATGCTTTCAGGAGACATCTAGGTCAACTGGCATAACAAAGCTTATTAAGAAAATGTTCTGTATTCTACTTTGGTGAGTGGCATCTGAGGTCTTAAAAGCTTGCAAGCGGCCATCTAGGATGCATCAATTGGTCCCAACCACCTGAAGTAAAGGAGGATGAAAAACACCAAAGACGCAAGGAAAGTAGTAGCCCAAGAGACAGAAGGGGCCACATAAACCAGAGACTTCTTTGGCCTGAGACCAGAAGAACTAGATGGTGCCCGGCTACCACCAATGACTGCCCTGACAGGGAACACAACAGAGAGTCCCAGATGGAGCAGGAGAAAGGTGGGGTGCAGAACTCAAATTCTAGTAAGAAGACCAGACTTAATGGTCTGACTGAGACTGGAGGAACCCCAGAAAGCATGGCCCCTGGATTCTCTATCAGCCCAGAACTAAAATAATTTCTGAGGTCAACTCTTCAGACAGGGATTGGACTGGACTGTGGGACATAAAGTGATACTTGTGAGGAGTGTGCCTCTTAGCTCAAGTAGATACAAGATACTAAAAGGGCAGCTTCTGTTCAGAGGTGAGATGGGAAGGCAGTGAAGGTTAGGAGCCAGTTGAATGGACATGGGGAATCAGAGGTGGAAAGGAGGAGTGTGCTGTCACACTATGGGGAGAGCAATTAGAGTCACATAACAATGTATGTATAAATTTTTGTATGGGAAAAAATAAAAATAAATTTAAAAAAACTTCAGAAAAATCTTACTTGTTTCCTCTGTTCCATTCTCCGTCAGAGAAATAGGTCTATTTCCTTGGTTCACAGTCATCAAGATCTGTTGTAGTTGGTCTTGTGTTAGACACACCAAATTGCTCTTCATATTTTCAGCTGCGATGTGGTTTCTGCAAGGCTTCTGTTTAGCTGCAGATGTAGTTATGGTGTTTCTAGTCTTCGGCATATTAGGAGTCGCAGGTGAAATCCCTTTTTGGATATGAAGACAGTCATTATCCTCATACTGCTTGCATAAATCCTTAGTGGGTGAAAAAGTCGTTTTATTTTTTTCACCTTTTGCCAGTGAAGTTTCTGAACCAATTCTCTTCTTTTGCAAATGTTTTTCACTCCTGACACAAGTATTTTGTGTGGATTTTAGAATGTGTCCAGTTTGTTTTGTTTTTAGAGGACATTTTGCAATCTTGGTCTTATTTCCCATCTGTTAAAAGAGAAGCTTATTCTTTATAACAGTCCATGAAAAATCAACGATTATCTTTATTTACATAATCTCTGATAAGTCATTCTTCTAAACTTTTTTCCTTTTTGCTACTTAGATGATATACTCATAAGAAACTCAAGCTTAACCTTTGTAAATCACTTGAAAGATTCAACAACAATCAGAAGTTATTTAATTTCAGGATAATGAAGAATACAGAAGAACTTTTATTCTAATTTCTGCTGGACATCTCCATTCCACTCCAGCTCTGAATCTCATGTCACTGGATTACACTCCCCACACCACCTCTTTTCTTACAGGCATCTATAGACCCTAGGCTGCCAAGCCTCATTCCTTGAATATCTTAGGGCGTCACCATCTCTCTCTGTAACATAACTCCTATCTTAATTATACTAAAACCAAAAATCAAACCCATTGCCGGCGAGTCAACTCTGATTCATAGAGGCCCTATAGGACAAAGGACATCTGCCCCACTGGGCTTCCAAGTAGGAGTTAGTGGATTCAAACTGCTAAACTTTTGGTTAGCAGCCAAGCTCTTAACCACTGTGCCACCAGGGCTCCATCTTAATTATAGGTATTTTCATATCCATGTAGACTGTTCTTCCAATATGCTAGCCTCTCATTTCCTTGAACTTTTCTCCTATAGTTTGTCCTCCATGGTACCTCACCTACTCATTCCCATGGTGATATGTTATACCTAATCTTGTTAACACCCATAATTTAAAGCACCCTACAATGACCACCACTTCCTATTTTTTCCAGCTCACTTCTCATCTCAATTTCAACAATTCTTTAATTCTGCTGGGATCTATAATCTGTTGATCTTACCACCTCCCTCTTGTGCCACTACCCTCCTTACCCAGCTTCAATTCCATGATCAACCAAAATAAACAGTCTCTTCCATTCTCATTTGTGCCACTCTATGTCATGCATGCTTGGTAGTCACAAAAAAAACAAAACCAAACCCGTTGCCATCAAAGTCGATTCCAACTCACAAGGGCCCTAAAGGACAGAGTAGAACTTCCCCACACGGTTTCAAAGGCTGTAAATCTTTACAGAAACAGACTGCCACATCTTTCTCCCACAGGGCCGCTGGTGGGTTCTAACTGCCGACCTTTCAGTTAGCAGTCCAGGGCTTAACCACTGCGCTACCAGTGCTTCCTGGTAAAGTCACAACCCTAATAAAATCCACTCTTCACCTACTTTGTGCCTGCACCCATGGAGAACAACACACAGTTATGCTAACTGGTTTCACCTTAAACTCAAGACCAAGAACATCAAACAGGTCCTCAGTGCAACCTGGGAGTCATATTACATTTCCCAAGCACATTTACACTCCCACTCTTTTAGCAACAGTTTCTCTCCCATACTCATTTTCAGCTGAACACTTTGTTTCACTCGGAAATTCAGAGAAGTATTCAGAAGAAAACGTCAACTAGTTTCCACAACCAAGTCTCATCTACGCACCAGCACCTTTACCCATACAAACTCGTACATATTCCCATAAACCTCATTCCTTCTCATGGATCCCTCTGGCAATTCTTTGCTTTCCTCTGAATCATCACTATTTCCATCTCTGCTACACTTGTTTGCATACAAACATGTTATTATTTTACCATCTTAAATTCTTCATCCCACTTTCTCCTCCCATCTTCCACAAGCCTATTCCAACAAAGCTTTCATCCATACCCACAGACCAAAACTGCTCTTGTCAAGAACACTAATAACTTCTACACTGCTAAATCCATTAACCAATTCTCGAATTCTGATCCTACTTAACAAACAGCTGCATAAGACCGCAGATCTCTTTTTTAGATGACTGCTGGGAAGACGGTAGGGTTGGCGGGACCTGTTGTTTTTTAGCTGCCATCAAGTCAGTCCCCAACTCACGGCAACCCCAAGTAGGTTGCCACGCCTTTCTTCCTGGTCCATCTTAGTTGCAAAGCTCCGCTGCAACGTGTTCAGCAGCACAGCAACAGGCAAGCCTCCACTTACAGATGGGTGGTGGCTGCACATGAGGTGCATTCGCCTAGAATCAAACCAGGTTTCCTGTCTGGAAGGTGAGAATTCTACCACTGTACTACCACTGCCCTCACTTCTTTCTTTCTGAAACATTTTCTCTACTGCGGTGCCAGGACGCCATAATCCTGGTTGTTTTCTACTTCACTACTACTCCTCAGTTTTTGCCAGCTCCTCCTCTTTTCACAGACTTCTTAAAGTCAGAGTACCCAGGGTTCAGTCCCAGGATCTCTTCTGTAAATTCCTTCATTCACGTGGTTATTTCATTCATTCTTGTGGCTCAGGAGTCCCTGGGTGGTGCAAACAGTTAACTTGATTAACTTGCTTGGCAGTTAACCTAAAGGCTAAAGTCTCAAATCCACCCAGAGTCACCTCGGAAGAAAGGCCTGGCAATCTACCTCCAAAAAAATCAGCCACTGAAAACCTTGTGGATACAACTTAACAAAAAGACAAACAACCCAATCAAAAAATGGGCAAAGGACTTGAACAGACATTTCAGCAAAGAGGATATTCAAATGGCCCACAAGCACCTGAAAAGATGCTCAAAGTCATTAGCCATTGTTGTTGCTGGGTGTCATCGAGTTGATTCCAACTCATAGAGGCCCCCATGTGACAGAGCAGAACTATCCCACAGGGTTTTCTTGGCTGTTATCTTTACAGAAGCAGATCACCAGGTCTTTCTCCCACAGAGCCGCTGGGTGGTTTGAACTGCCAAGCTTTTGGTTAGCAGCCCAGTGCTTAACCGTTGTACCACCAGGGCTCCCCTTCATTAGCCATTAGAGATGCAAACAAAACCACAATGAAATACCTCACCATATTAGAATAGCAAAGATCAAAAAACTGGAAAACAGATGTTGGCAAGACTGGAGAAGCTGGAAACCTCATCCTTTGCCGGTGGGAATATAAAATGGTACAGCCAATGTGGAAAACAGTTCCCCAAAAAGTTGAACACAGAACTATCATATGCCCAGCAATCCCAATCCTAGGTATACACCAAGAAGTGAAGGCAGGAATGCAAACAGAAGCCTGTATACCGACGTTCACTGCAGCACTTTTCACAATAGCCAGAAAGTGGAAACAAACAAAACGTCCATCAACAGATGTATGGATAAACCAAATGTGGTGTATAAACATAACAGAACACTATGCATAAAGTCCTAATGTATACCACTACATGCATGAACCCTGAAAACGCATGTGGACTGAACTAAGTCAGCTGCAAAAGGACAAATGTTGTATATTCTTTCTTATATGAAATAAGTGAATATATAGAAACCAAAGATTAGTTGTTATCAAGGGTGCGAGGCACCGAGTTCATGTTAATGGTGGTAGAATGATTAGGAAAAGGACAGTGAGAATGGCTGCACAACCTGAAGAATGTAATTAAGGTCACTAAATTGTACATGTGGAAATTGCTGAGCTAGCCTGATGTGTTATGTATATTTTCACAATAAAGAAAAAATTAAAATAAAAAAAAAGGAAAGAAAATCCTACAGAGCACAGTTCTACTCTGACACCCAATGGCAAGTGGCTTACTAGTCTTGTGGCTCTAAATATTATCCATTATATTGATGACTCCCAACCCTGTGTCTCCAGGACAGACTTCTCCCCTAACTTCAAGCAATACCAGTATCTCTAGCTAAAATGCCTTTTTACCCTCCCATCCCTATGGCTAGTTTAATATAATTCCCTAAATGAGGAGAGGCAAATTTAAATACCCACTGCAAATTAGGCTGGGTGGAATTAAGATGAGCACTTTTTCCATCTAAAGGAGGTAGCCACCACTGAGAACCAGCCTAGACTGTCAAACAGGAATCTGAGCCTATTTGCCAGATCATTCAGTTTTTCAATATAACAAAGAACGCCAAATTTTACATTAAAATTTCCAATTTTAAAATGTTGACAACTCATTATAGTTTTTGAAAACCACTGTGTACATCAACCGAACGATTGTGGGCTGCACATCTTGCACAGCTGAGCCCCACCACCTCAGTTAGTCTCCAACTACCACAGCTCTGAGTGATCTCACCTGTCTTTGAATCACAGTGACCCTTTTTGTTTTTGTCAGCAACAGTTGAGCATTTCTGCTCTCTAATCAATTTATCTCACCTAAAGTGCTAAGAGCGCAGTGCATTCCCTTAACATATCTTGAAAGTCTCTCATTTCTGCCTCCTTTTCTTCATTCCTGCAGCCACCACAGAAGTTCAGGGCCTCTAAGACTCTCCCTGGACTACCATAATAGGCTCTTAACTAGTCTCCCTGTTATGATAACCGAGCCTTCACAGAGCCACCAGAGGGCCTTTCCTAAAACATAAATCAGATCATATTCAGTCCCCTTTTCAAAAACCTTTTAATCGCTCTCTATATACAAAACAAGCATGTTCAAACTCTTTGAGTACGAATTCCAACTCTTCATGATTGTAAATCCCCCTTAGCTTTATGTTCAACACTTTTATCTGATGTACTTACTACCCCCTCAAATTCAACTTATACTTTTATTATCACAGTATTTTGTCCACTATTTTCTCTGAGCTTGGAATACTCTTTCCTACTTCTTTGACTACAAATATCTCCCTCATCTTTTAAGTACTAATTAAAACGTCACCTCATTTATGAAGCATTCCTTAATTTCTCCAAACCAGAACAAGCTGCTTTTTCCACTGTTTTCTCCTTTTTATAGCCCTACTACAGCACTCATTTCATTCTACCACTTCATTGCATAGTTTTTACCTACTGATATCTCCATTTCTAGAAAACAGTGGCTGGGCTTTATTTTTTTTTTTTCCTTTTAGTCTCTAAATAATGCCAAGAATGGCAAGACCCCTAAACCCATAATGGAATTTTACAGCTATGGTAAAACCATGCTACTCAAAACTCTAATAATTGGAGCTGTAATTTCACCAGAATATTTTGTCACATTCCATTTACATCAGAAATAATATGCAGAAAAAGTCTTCTAAAAATATTTAACTGGCATGAGGTCAACATACACTCAGCCCAATTCTGAACAACTTTTGTAGATTTATACAAGAGAGGAACAGTGAACAAGCAGCACAAAACTGAACTACCAAATATTCAATTATGTTCAGGCTGGTTAATTAAAAAAAAAGTACCCTAGCCCAAATAATTTCCCAAGTGTTTACTGGATTAGATGAATTTTAAAAGATGGGATAAGGCCTTTATGTCATAAACATTTTTATACAGTATGCTGCTTTCATCTATTTTTAATTCTACCAACATTTTTCTGTATATTAAAAGACAGTGTTGAATGCATTTGTTTAATATTGGCTGACTGCAACTTACACGGGCCAGAATCCCAAGGCCAGAAAGAGTAAGAGAAAAGTAACATATTTAAATATAAAATGTGCCTCTGAGCACTAATACTGTGTAAATTCTTTAGCATGTCACTACTGATTTTCAAGTGTAGAAATATCTTTGAAAACTTTTTAAATGTTTTATATGTCAAGTAATTTGTGAGACCAAGTATAAGAATTTTAGAATCCACTATCTTTACAAATGACGACACTGAGTAATTTGTATCTTTCATTTCTCCCTCTTTAATAAGCTCAAGGAATTAGGCTGGTAATCATCTGTACTTCATATTCATTAGTGCAGATTAAAGATGAATGCAGGAGAGATTTTGACTGAATTAAGAAAGTGCTCTCACCACAAGATGTGCTCAACTTGATGATGAGACACAGTTGCGCTGTGTCTAAAGAGCACACTCTGCAGAGAACAGTAATTCAACCAGTGAGGAAGGGGAAAGTAGAAGAGCTCTGGGTCTTGCAGCCACTCAGGAGCTTACTTCAACATAAAGAAAAGCATGTGTGGAGAGAAGTCATAAATAACTTACAGAAAAGAGAAATCAACATACAGCTGTAGACCTGTGAGACTTGGGAGATTAAAAAAAGATGACAAGTACTTCTGTTTTTGATGTTGGTGTTTTGTCTTCTGTGAAGAGCACAGAAGACAAAAGGAGGAGGGTTGCTGCAACCTCTATACATAAGGAAAAGAGAAAATCCTTGGGAAAAAAATCAATACAGAAAGGAGACTTAGGTTGCATCAGTACTTTGGAGTCCCAGATTCAACAGGGATGAACTCAAACAATTTGTCTTAAGGCAGTAAATAATTTAAGATCAACATGAGTCGAGAACACATTATTTACTCTGGAAAAATTCTAGGATAAAATATCCCTAGACTGATACAATTTTGTGATGATTCTATAAAAGTCCATGACGAATAACTCTGTTTATTATAGACAAGAAAGGGTTTCCCCAGAGGTTCTAAGACGGTGAAACAGATGATGAAATGTCCTCGCCAACGTGACGCCTGTGGTAAATCCACAGGGACATCAATAAGAGGAGCGAACATGTGAAAGAGAATAAAGTGGAGACAGACATCAACCATCTATGAGCTTTTATCAAGGAGCTTGAAAAGGGCACTGTATTTGTTAATGTGATGCAAATAAAAGCAGTTAATTGCTATATTTTAATAGGGAAGGGCCAGGAAATAATATACGACATATAGTTCTATGATTCAGGGAACACACAAAGTATATAACCGAAGAAATAATAATTTTTATAGGTAGCTGTAGAATTACTTTAATCATCATCACACATTTATCAAGTGCTTGACCTGGATACTCAAGTAACTCCTCCACCTTGATTAAACCTGGAATAAACAGTAAAGCCAACCAGGGGCGCAGGGTTGAAGGGAAAAGTGCTAAAGTGTTACATCACCCGACCACAGACACACAATGAAAGACTGCAAAAATAGGAGGAAAAGGAGTTGCAAAGAGGAGATTTCTCCTGAAATGGAAAAGAAATAAGGAACAAGAGCAGTGGTATCTAAAAAATTTTCAAGTGGTAATGTATTTTGTAAGTAGCCCTGGTGGTGCAATGGTTAAAGTGCTCACTGAAGCTCGAAAGGTCAGCAGTTCAAGCCCACCAGCTGCTCCGGGGAAGAAAAGACCTGGCAATATGCTCCCGTAAATATTTCAGCCCAGAAAATCCTATGGGGCAGTTCTAACCTGTCATATAGGGTCGCTATGAGTCAGAACCCATTCGAGGGCACGCCAGCAACAATGTATTTTGTAGAAAATGGCACAATGAGCTCCTGATAAAGGAAGATTACCATTAAAATCAAGTGTGCTCTCTTACAGGACAAAGCTAAATGCACGTAAGAATTTGTGATTCAAATACTCCCTTTTTGTGTGGGGAAATGGTATTTGAGTATGAAAAGAAAATATATTTTTGTTTTAAAGTCTGAATATTTTTAAAGATCTCTATAGCTGTACTGTCCAGTACAGTAAGTATTAAATTTCAATTAATTAAAAATTAAATAAAATTCATCACTATAGCCACATTTCAAGTGCTCAATAACCACACATGGCTAGTGACTACCATACTGGACTGCACAGATTCTAGAACACTTCTATCACTGCAGAACGTTCTATTGGATAGCACTGGTCTGGAGAAAAAGATTCTAAAGGGCTTTTATAAACCGAAAAGTTGTGTAAGATTCCATTTCTGTGAAAGGACCAGCCCGAAAGCAATGGAACAATAACTTCTCACCATCATTCCAAACCCTGATGTTTTGACACCCCCAGGAATTATTTTCAAAGCACTGTAATGAAACTGCATTTTACGTTTGAAAACACATCAGGTCAAAGTCATTTGGCTTACCTTCACAGAAATTTTTGATTTATGTTCTACAAAAGAAAAAAAAAATTACTATCAACCAAAACTATACAAAGGCAGTCATGAAAGAAAAATTTAATTAGCATTGTTTTAAGAAGACATTAAGATAGAAATGTTCTCCACAAAATATTTTAACTTTTTCTAACTTTTACAGCATGGTTCAAATATTTCTATTTCATTTTTTGTTTATTTTGGTTATCTTTCCAAGGTAAAACTATAATCAGGGAAAAAGAAAACAATGTGAATGAGAATACTATCAAAATATACTCTCTCTGAGATCAGATTCATTTTAATACTAAAAATGACTTCAACAACTGCAGTCTTACTATAAATTTAATCTTCTCAAGCAATACACTCTATATGCAAAGAACATAATTATGTAAATTTCACCTATATGATTCATCAGGCATAACGATTTCTGCTATTTGTAAATACAGTATAAATACAGTGACTATATTACACATGAAATGTACTGGAAGATTAAATTTTGTGCAAGTAAACACTGACAGTAGTAAGTAGTGATGCAATGTCACTTGGCTAAAAGTAAATTTGACCAAGTTTGGGGAAATACAGCCATTTTCAAAGTATCACTTAACTTTGTTTCAGTTTATACAGTTTGGGTCTATTACAAGCAAAAGGTCCATGAAACTAGTATAAATTTTATATAAACATACTAAATTTTACATTAAAATTTAACATCTTAAATATCCTGTAACACAGCATACCATATGGAGACAATATTAGCTTGGTTTTTCCATCCAGTAATTCAGTTTCAAGCTTTAAACCATCTCTGCAAGATAAAAGAAAACTGTGTCATTGTTAAGAAATCACATCATCTTAAATAGCCAGAAATGCTCATGACCTCTAAAGTAGACTTGTTACTTTGAGTTTATAAGGAATCTAGTAATATCATCAGATCATACGATATATTCAAGTCTTTTAATTAAAAACATTTCTAATCCAAGATAAAACGAAAAACTGCAATGAGAAAATTCTTCCGGAAACTTTGCAGTAATACTAGAATTTGTTATTTTTAACCTGAAATCTCATTTTATTATTGGTAAGCAGTAAATCAATTCAGTTATTACACCATCAATTCAACTCTTATAATGCTAGAATGGAAAAATATAATGCTCTTGCCCAAACTCACCAAAGTTAAAGAAGCAGGGCATATCTACCATGGATTAGTTTCATGAGGGCCTCCCTAGTAAAAATTCATCCTACAAGGTGCAGGGGCATTATTTGGAAACGAGCTATAACACTGCCACCCACATTATACCTGCCTGAGCATAAAGTTTCCCTCTATTTTGAATATTTCAAAGAATACATATTCACGCTTAGTGACACTTCTGTTACTAACAATAACAAATCTGTAATAAATTTTGGCTCCTATTATACTCTGCGTGTGCACGTAAAAAGCAAGCGCATAAAATAACAGCAGACATTGCCAACACAACTCCTATATCTGTTAAGGTTCTAAATAAAAACCCTACTGAAAACAAAAATGGCAGTCTACAGAGTAATTCACTGTTTTACTAGAGGAGGGGAAAAGGTGTATGTCAATACATATTAACAGGACAAAACTGAAGTCCAAGAAACAAAATTAAATCCACTCAGCCAGTCAAGGATGAGAAACGGTTGGGAAAAGTCTCATTAGGAATAGGAATTTGTGGTGTTGCTCAAGGAGGGAAATTCAATTACCTCAACTTATTTACTAAAGGTAAAATAACACTGGTAGCAATAGGTTTAAGGGTTTCCCTGTTGCAGGGTTATGAAGTTTATGTTACTGCAACTTTACCAAAAAGGACACTTGAACGCAATTGCAAAATCTCTGTTCCACACTGCACTGTATACTTCTTAAAGAGCAGACTGTGTACTTCTATATTTCCAGATTCTAAAACATAAAATTCATTTGCTGAACGATGTGCAGTGAAGTCTGGGTTTGGTGTCTTTTCATCTTCTCAAAGTATTAAACTTCCAAGTGATGAAAACCATACAACAGCCCTTTTTATTTAATCAACTACTACTTAATGAGGGTCACCATGAGTCAGAATCAACTGGACAGCAACGAACAGGTAATGATGGCCTATCAGGTGCCTCTGAATTATGATGTTGGTGAAGAATAGTCAATATACCATGGCCTTCCAGAAGAATGAACACATTTGTCTTGGAAGAAGTACAGACAGAACACTCCTTAGAAGCGAGTCTGGCGAGACTTGTCTCACGTACTTTGGACACGTTATCAGGAGGAACCAGTGAAGGACATCATGCTTGGTAAAGCAGAGGGTCGAGAAGAAGAAGACCCTGAAAGAGATGGGCTGACACAGTGGCCGCAGCAATGGGCTCAAAAACAGCAACAACTGAGAGGATGGCGCAGGACCCGATAGTGTTTCATTCCGCTCTAACTAGGGTCGCTATGAGTCGGAACCGACTCCACGGCACCTAACAACAACAATTAGGTACCAGGCAGTGATAATACACCGATTCCTTGAGGAGCCTTGGTTCCTCCCACTTTAAACCGCGTTAAACTAATCTTAGCACTCTGACTTTCAGCAAAACTGCAAAGACAGGGTCGCGCAGAACCAGAGGCTTGGGCCAGATTTCTCCCCGGGATTCTGTTTTTATCTCTCCATTTGCCTTGGTTATTTATCCCCTCTCCACCTCTCCGCCACGCCTTTCCTCCCTCTCTTACTGAGGGAAATGAGGGTGCCGAAGGAGATGACTGACAGTTTCAACGCGAGTTTGAAGGGGTAAAAGCGAGGGCTACCGGGGCGGTAAAGGCCAAGCCGGCCTCCTCGCCCCTCTGAACCTCAGGGAGACGGGCACTGCCGCTCGGGGCTGCACAGCCAAGAAAGTTCTCCGCGAAGGACTCCACAGTCCAACCCAGCCTCACCCTCCTCTCCCCTTCCAACCAACTTCCTCACCCCATCTTACCCCAAATTCATGGTCTCACTTCCCGCTCTACCCGCAGAACGCTCAAGCCCCTAGTGTACGTCGGTTGCCGCGGCCGCTCAATAAGCGCTACGCCGATTGGATGCGGGGATGCCGGGGAGCTGGGAAGGTCGACCAATCAGAATAGGGCGTGCTGGCGAAGGTCCTCAACCGGGGCGGGGCTCCGAGGACAATAGCCTTCGCTTGGATTAGGCTCTGCTCCGATTTGACTCCGCCCCAGGCTGGGCGTAGTTTCGGGGTTTGGTCTGAGCTGCCACTAGCTCTTGGTTCTGGGAATTGAATGGCTTAGAAGCCTTGGGAATCGCAGCGTCCAAAGTTCACAGCCGTCGGGAAAATGCCTCATCTCAGGTGAGGTTGGTGAAAATACGGAGGAACAAGAAGCATAAATCTTTTTAGGAAATTAATCGAATTGTGGAGTTGGAGGCGAAGTATATAGAATATATCATGGACTGCCAGAAGAATGAACAAATCTGTGTTGGAGGAAGTATAGCCGGAATGCTCCACAGAAGCAAGGATGTTGAGACTTCATGTCACTTACTTTGGGCATTTCATCAGGAGGGACCAATCGCTGGAAAAGGTCATCATCATGTTTGGTAAAGTAGAAGGTCAGCAAAAAATAGGGAGACGCTCAAGGAGATGGATTGACAGCCGCAATAATGGACTCAAGCGCACCGATTCTGAAGACCTCGCAGAAACGCGCAACGTTTAGTTCTGTTATACATAAAGTCGCTATGAGTCTGAGCCAATGGAATGGCACTAACAACATATTTTATAGTTGGAAGAGAGGCTTATTTTAGTACAAAAAAGGTTGGCAGGTGGGTACTCCCAGAGCAGGCCCTGGGCATGCCTTGTTTCTTGCTGAGACCCTGCATCAAGCATAGCATCTTAGTAACGGCGACAATCACCAGTGCTCTATAAATTTAGCGCTCTAAGCCAGCCATAGATCTACTGTAAGCACCTTCTATCTATTATTTAAGCCTTACAGCATTGTCCTCATTTTACAGATGAGGCAGTTGAGGCACAGAGAGGTTAAGTGTTCAAGGTCAATGACTACCAAGCAATTTGACAGCAGAGACCATGTTCCTAAGCAGTGTTATATGAGGTTGGGAGGCCTGGTGGCGCAACGTTTAAGCATTTGGCTACTAAGTGAAATGCTGGAGTTTGGAACCCACCTAGTTTCTATGCGAGGGGGAAGAACCTGGTGATCCACTTCCATAGGATTACAGCCCAGAAAACCCTATGGGGGCAGCTCTACTCTGTCACATGGGGTCCCTATGAGTTGGAATCAACTCAGTGGCACCCAACAGCAACAATAAACTCCTCTTCATCTTTCAGATCTCAATTTAAACATCACTTCTTCACTAAGCCCTCCTGGAATCTACTAGTGGGTGGATTAGGAACCTATCCTCCAAATTCCTCAATCCCTGACCTTTTTCTAGATTAGGAAATTTAATGAATTTAAGATCATTAAATGAGGCAGAGTGTCTTGGTTATCTAGTGCTGCTATATCAGAAATACCACAAGTGGGTGACTTTAACAAACAAATTTATTTTCTTACAATTTAGGAGGCTAGAAGTCCGAATTCGGGGTGCTGTCTCTAGGGGGAGGTTTTCTTTCTCTGTCAGCTCTGGAGGAAGGTCTTTAACTCCTTTGAGCTTCTGATCCTGGGCGATCTTCCTGTAGCTTGGCATCTCTCTTTCCCCGTCTGTGCTCGCTAGCTTGCTTGTTAAATCTCTTTGTATCTCAAAAGAGATTGACTCAAAACCCACTCTACACTAATTCTGCCTCATTAACATAACAAAAGCAACCCATTCCCAAATGGGATTATAGCCACAGGCGTAGAGGTTAGGATTTACAACACATTTTTTTGGGAGGAACACAATTCCATCCATAACAGTGAGCTTCAGAAGGATGGACAGTTGGTGTTTTATTCACCTTTGTAGCCACAGTACCTAGCATTGCGCAGTGTAGAGTATATATTCAATGAATGAACAGCGAAGGTAAAAAATGTCAACAACAATTAAAATTGACTGAATGAAATTTCATTTGAGTGCCTCGTATTTCACGATGCCCATAGATTATAGTGCAGTTAATACAAATTTGCAATTTTTTCATCTATCTGCTCTGTATATAATTTTTTTTAAATTACAGTTGATAATAAATGACGTACATTGAACTGTCACATAATGTTCAGTGACATTTCAAAGAGCTCTATTAATACTCATTTTTGTATGTGGCCTGCGTAGGATGTAGTTAAATGAACATTTGTTGACTTATTTGATTGAATAAAAAAACAGGTACCAACCTACATTTGATCCAGTGTTTGTTTATTTAAAGAAATATTTATGCACAGAAAAATAGTCTTAAAGGATACGCACTAACATGTTAACGGGAGTATTTCTGACAGGTAGAATGGTGTGATTTTTAAATTTTTACTTTTCTTTCTAACTTTTTATCGTTATGAAAATGTTACCTAGATTCAACAGTTGTTAATGATTTGCTACATTTCCACCGTCTCTAACACACATCTATTTTTTCTTTTCTTTTCTTTTTTTTTTTTTTTGCTTAACCGTTTGCAAGTAAGTTACAGACATTATAACACTTCATCCTTAAACAATAGTCTGCTTGTCTCCAAAATGAGCCCTGGTTCAGCACTCAGCTGCTAATTGCAAGGTTGGTAGTTTGAACCCACCTAGCAGCCCCGCAGGAGAACGACCTGGCAATCTGCTCCCATAAAGATAAAAAACAAAACCCCATTGCTATTCAGTTGATTCTGACTCGTACTCAGACTCCATAGGACAGTGTAGAACTGCCTCATAGGGTTGGTTTCCAAGGCCATAATCTGTACGGAAACAGAATGCCACATCTTTTGTCTTGCAGAACAGCCGGTCGGTTCAAACCACTAACCTTATAGTTAGCAGCCAAGCTCTTAACCACTATGCCACCAGGGCTCCTCTGTAAAGATTAAAAAAATACAAAACCCGTTGCCATCGTGTCGATTCTGACTCATAGCAGCCTAGAAAACCCCATGGGGCAGTTCTACTCTGTCACATTGGGTCATTATGAGTCAAAAACCTGCTCATTGGCACATTACAACGACATGCGTCTCCAAAGAATAAGACACTCTCCTATATAACCACAGCACCATGATCACACCTAAGAAAATTAACAATTTTATGATAACATCTAATATCCAGTTTCTAGTTAATTTTCCCCACTTGTCCTAAGAATATCTTCTATAGCTTTTTATTACCAAACCAGGATCCAATCAAAGATCACACATTGCATCTGGTTATTACGCTTCTTTATTCTTTCATATAGAACGGTCACTTCATTTTTTTTTATTGTTGTTACATTGACTTTTTGAAAACTCAAGGCCACTTGTCCTGTAGAAGCACCTCCAAAGCACTTCTTTGTCCCACCGATGGGGCACTGGAGTCCTGAAGGAGCTGAAGCTGCAAGTCACCTGTGGAGAAGGAGAAGTGCATGTCCCTAGTGTTCTGTTCCGTTTCAGGACATAGCATTGTTTTTAAGAGCACTAGCTTTGGAGCCATGCTGCCTAGGTTCAGATTCCAGCTCTGTTGCTTTCCTAGCTATATGACCTGGAGAAGTTACTTAGTTTTCTGTGCTTCGGTTTCCTCCTCCATACAATGAGAATGAATTACAGTACTCTACCTTATAGGGTTGTTGGGAAGATTATGTAAATGAGTTTAATGAATGCAAAATGCTTAGCATAATACCAGTACCTAATTGCTATGTAAATGTCAGCAATAATTTATATCATTACCAAAGAAGTTCTGTTCGAGTCCCAATAACTTACAGGGTTTTAGCTCACTCATTTTTTTCCATTTAAAAAAAATTAAGGTAAAAAATACACAAAGTACAAAGATCTTAAGTGTACGATTCAAAGAGTTTTAGTAAATGCTGCCACCTCCGTCAAGAATTGTTGTTGTTAGGTGCTCTCGAGTCGATTTCGACTCATAGTGGCCTCATGTGACAGAGTAGAACCTCCCCTTAGGGTTTTTCTAGGCCGTAATCTTTACAGGAGCAGATCGCCAGAGCATTTCAAACAAGCAAATACGCAGAGACCACAGCTTATTAGTGATTACCAGGGGCAGGTGAGAGGGGGAAAGGGAGAATTATTGCTTAAAGGGCACCGAGTTTCTGTTAACCAAAAAAAAAAAAAAAAAAACACAAAAACAAAACCTGATGCCATCCAGTTGATTCTGACTCACAGCAACCCTATAGGACAGAGTAGAAATGCCCCATGGGGTTTCCAAGGAGCAGCTGGTGGATTTGAACTGCCAACCTTTTGGTTAACAGCCATAGCTCCTAACCGCTGCACCACCAGGGCTCCAGTGCCTGTTAAAGGTGATGAAAAAAATTGGAAACAGTGGTGATGGTTGCACAACATGGTAAATGTAATTAATGTGACTAAATTAATTAATGTGACACGTAAAAAGGTTGAAATGGCAAATGTTAGACCTACATATATATATCACAATTTTTAAAAATAATAGACTGTTTCTATAAGCCCAGAAAATTTTCTCGTGCCTCCTCCATAAATCCCCACGCTATTCAATAGAAAACGACTGTTCTGATTTCTACCACCATAGATCAGTTTGCCAGGCAAAGCCAGTTGCTGTGAGGACGATTCCGACCCACGGTGACCCCTTGCGTGTCAGAGTAGAACTGTGCTCCGTAGGATTTTCAGTGGTTGATTTTTCGAAAGTAGATTGCCAGGCCTTTCTTCTCGAGTGTTTCTGGGTAGACTGAAACTTCCAATCTTTCCTGCCCGGAGCGCCCCGGACTCGTGGTTTTAATTAGCATTAACTAATGATTTCGAGCACCTTCGAAGACTCAGTTTTTACGGAAGATGCAGGTGGAGGCCCCACCATTGAGAAGATCTTTCTATGCCTTACGTTATCGCGGGCTGCTCAGGTGAGCTGACTGCTGGCAGGCCCACCACACCAGTTCATCCATCTTAAACATAGCTGACCGACGAGGTGGGGGCGGGGAGCACCATTCAGGCTAAATTTCTATGAAA